AGTGATAATAATAATAATAGCATAAAATATGGAAATGAGTGATACCCAGTGAAACTGCTCAGCACCTGCTGACCGAGCCCGGCCCGTTCCCAGGTAACGATCCCGGAGGAGCGACAATCCTGAACCGAAACCGCAATCCCGGGAGAGCCAGAGCCCGAGTGAAAGCCAGAGAGAGCAAGAGAGGAAGAGCCCCTCACTGATATACTGGACATGACATGATCTGAGATGGAATATCCCACTGGCAGAGCCAAATGTCAGTTTGGCTTATTAATTTAAATATTCCTCACCCCCATAGGTCTTGTGCTTGTGGACGGACAGAACACAAAGTCCTTCACTTCCACTGACAGAAATGCAAACACTGGGATGTTCTCAGCGTCTCTCATAACAAATCCCAGCTGAAACCAAACCCCAGCGCTGTTCTTGATACTAAAAAGAAACCCTGCTCTGTCCCAGCTAAAAACCAGGACACACCAAATCACTTGCCCTGTGAAAAACGCCTGAGATTTAGCAAAATCTTTCCTCATTCTTGGCCTACAAGTTACTGGCAATTGGGGATCTTTGACTTTTGATTCTTTTGAGCTGTTGAGTATTTTATGTTACACAAGGGACGTTTGAATGAATCCATTGTATAGGTTCTTAATTAGCCAGTGGTGGTATTTTATAAAGTGATGGGATGCATTCTGCATCCCTAAAATGAAATGAGCCGATCATGATTTGAGACTGCTCAGGTAAATAACTTGGGTTTATGAGGAAATGTTAATTTGGCAGTGTTTAACTGAAGCTCTATAATCCTGCTGGCAGGGGAGAGGAGTGTCCATTTGATTCCTTGAAAGTCTGATGTTGATTAATAGCTTTACTCAAAGCAGGAAACAGATGAGCTGCACATAGAAAACTTAGTCTGCTGTGGTTATGTGTGGAACTAGACATCCTGAATTAGTTCAGATGGATTGAGAACGTCAGTTACAGAAGCTGCTTTCTGTAAGAGCTTCAGGAGCTCTTTGCAATATTTACCATTTTTTCCCCCTTTTTAAACAGGCACTACTTTGCTCTGCCCACTAATCCCGGTGAGCAGTTCTTCATGTTCTGCACGCTTGCTGCCTGGCTGATCACTCAAGCGGGACGTCCCTTCCAGCAGCCACAGGAATACGACGACCCCAACGCGATAATATCAAACGTGCTCTCAGAGCTGCGGTCGTTTGTAAGTGCTGAACGTGCTGGTTTCCCAAGTGTGTTTCAAGCACGTGCATCACCTTCAGAAATAACAGCAGTGACACACTTCCTCTGATTATGTTCCCAAGGACTGGACAGGCTTTTCCTATCTATAAGTTTGTACTATGTTAATTAGTTAATTGGAAGTTTATACAGTCTGTACCTACTTGCTAATTGTTTGGCACTCCAAAAATGGTCTTACAATATTATATATGATTCCAATTAGTTTTGTTCTACAATCTGTAAAACAGATTAAGTTTGGTTTACTTCTCATAGTGCCACATATCATAGAATCATAGAATGGTTTGGATTGGAAGGGACCTTAAAGATCATCCAGTTCCAACCCCCCTGCCATCAGCAGGGACACCTTCCACTAGACCAGGTTGCTCAAAGCCTCATCCAGCCTGGCCTTGAACACTTCCAGGGAGGGGGCATCCACAACTTCCTTGGGCAACCTGTTCCAGTGTCTGACCACCCTCACAGTGAAGAACTTCTTCCTAATATCTCATCTAAACCTCCCCTCTTTCAGTTTAAAGCCATCACCCCTTGTTTTGTCATTAGTCGTCCTTATGAAAAGTCCCTCCCCAGCTTTCTTGTAGCCCCTTCAGGTACTGGGAGGCCGCTATAAGATCTCCCCGGAGCCTTCTCTTCTCCAGGCTGAACAGCCCCAACTCTCTCAGCCTGTCTTCATAGGAGAGGTGCTCCAGCCCTCGGATCATCCTGGTGGCCCTTCTCTGGACTTCTTCTAACTGGTCCATGTCTTTCTTATGTTGGGGGCTCCAGAACTGGATGCAGTATTCCAGGCAGGGCCTTACAAGAGCGGAGTAGAGGGGCAGAACCACCTCCCTCGACCTGCTGGACACAACATATGTTGCTCATTTATAGGAGTATAATTTACAAAGATTTTATCCTGAAAGTTTACACAGTGCTTGTGATCTTACTCCTGCCAAAGTCAACGGTATATCTCATATTGAAGGAAATGGTTTAGTATTGTGTTCATGTTTTCTTCATTTTTTTTGTTAAGGAGTAGAAGGTTGCATAAACTGCCAAGAGCTATTGGGATTTTTTTTCAATATTAAAAAAAAACCCAGAAGTCAGAAGAGTATATTGATTTACAGGAAGTATGAAGATTATACTGTGGTGCAGCTGTGAATGATGTTAAGAACGCTGTTCTCTAAAGGAGTTAAACCATAACAAATGAAGATGTTTATTCTGCAGGACAGCAATAAATAAAAATAAAGTACTTTATAAATAAAATCTGGAACAAACAAGGCAATATTCAAAAGCTGGTGCTTAAGTCTCAGTACCTGAGTTTCTCCATAGCTGTTCTTACCTTGCCAGCATGTCACTTGTGTGCTTGACCATCTAACTCCTTTGCAGCTTCTGAACTTTTCTGCTCCCCTTGAGTACCCTCTTACCAGGTGTTTTAGGATTTGAACGCTGCATCTGTTCCTTGGGTTGTTCTGTTTTCCCTTCTGTTGCATGACTGGTGTTGCATAGAGAAAGAGTATGAATTAACATTAGTAAAATCTTCATACACAATGGTCACTTTGGTTTTAGTATAAAAAAAAATCTTGTTACCTCCCTGAGAGGAACCTCGGGTTGATGGGCAGCCATTAGTAAACAGCATATCTCTTTATTTTAGGGAAGGCCTGTGGATTTTCCTCCCTCAAAATTAAAGGCAGGTTATGGAGAACAAGTGTGCTATGTTCTTGATTGTCTAGCTGAAGAAGCCTTGAAACACACTGGCTTTAGCTGGAAAAGGTATAGTACACGTTTAAGCATCCTCCCTTGTGCACTGTTTTCCAGCAAACAAATGTAAGTTGTAAAGACAAAACATAGTCATGACTAGAAATGTTTTACTTGATGTTTCATGACATGCTAAATTCAACTAGGCTTGAAGCAGTGGGAACAATTAATTCCTAATGCAGTTTCACACAATTTACTCTCTTACCAGCAAGGATGAGTTTGTGCCATTAACAGACTTAGCTAATTAATAAAAATTTGACTGATGACCTTTTTTTGGTCATTTCCCTGTGCATAACTGCTTGTTAATCTGACAGTTGACTTGAAGCATTTAATGTCCTTTTAGGTCCTTTCAGTTAATAGCTAAATTCTTGACCTCTTCAGCTGGAGGTATGCACCATATGTGATCTTGTTACAAGTACACTACAGTAACCTTGAGTCTTTAATCTGAAGGAAATCTTGGGAGGAATTAGATGACAGATAATTTCATGTATGTGAAAAATTCTTTAAAAGTATTCTTTATTTCATTCCTTCCTCCTGATGGGTTTTGAAATTGATATAGTGAAGTAATTTCTACCTGGGATATATTTCACTGTTACTTATGTTTAGTACACAGATTCCACTGTGGGCTATAAGTAAGTCATTGGTGACTGTGCTTGAATTTTTAGGAGGTTAGACCAAAAGAGAAAATAAATCAAAATTTACTCCCCAGATGTCTTTGTAGTACAAATATACTGTACTGCTTGGCATAATAACTAACCTTACTTATAAGATAGGCTAAGATAAACAAAGCCTTTTAAGGATGAGTGTTAATTCTGTTTAAGTAGGTGAGACACTAATCACTGTTTAGTCATATTCCACATAATCCATACTTCTCATGAAATGTTTTGTTTGCTCAGGAGCAATTTACAGAGTTATTTCCAGTTTACTGTGTTGAAAAGCTTTGCTGTTCTTTGGACTGATTTCAGGCCAGTGTATCCGACAGAAGAGCCAGAAGAAGAAGAAATAACAGAAGATGATGCAGAATTAATCCTTAATAAACTGGAAGAGGATGTTGCAGTAGGTTTACCTGACTGGTTTTGATTATATTAGTATTGGTGAATTATGAGGAAATTTTCACTCACTGCTCATTTTATTTGGCTTTGTTTAAGAAGTCTTTTCTATTAGCTGTTCAATCACCCTTTTTTTTTCTGCATCTCCATTCCTGCATCCTCAGCTTCTCTGTAGAGTTTTTTATTTCCTTTCAGATAAGGTTGTTTACTCCTTGGGACAGAACATATGTTCTCATGTGGGTTTATAGTTAATATAAAGTGAAGTGGAATCTAACCATACATTACAATTACATAGATTCAGAATTGTTTTCTACTGATACAAGCTGTTGATGTTAAAACGAAACTTCAATCTCTGTTTACAGATTAGGCTAAAATTTGGTTAAATTTTGCCCAGCACTTAATTAATTGAGTGCTCACTGTTGTAACTCAAATTTCACTGCAAATAGGAAATAGCAACTTTGATAATTAGTTGGTCTAAAGATTTGGGAACACAGTAGACAGAAAAGAACTAGAAACAGAGCATTTGTTTAAAAACACCAACAAAGCCGTAAATAAAGGTCACAGAGTTGTCTTTGTAGACAAAGGTCATGGCAGCTCATTCCATGAATATCCCATCATCCATTCTGACTGCAGAATAAGTCTTTCTGTGTGCTTTGAAATACCTTTTACCAACAAGATGGCAATGTTTGAGCATCAACTCTTTTTTATTCCTGCTTTTGAGCTATAATAATTACAGTGAAGTTGTCATGTCTATGAAACAGCCTATGAAATACACCTGTAAGTTCAAATATGCTTTTAGGACTTACTGGTGGATGGATGTTGAACAGAAGTTGTTTCTTGCTGGTTGCCTTTCTCAGAAGGTTATTTTTATGAGAGTTGGAGTCTTACTGTAAACTGGTAGCATAATGTGATCACAAGACATTGTCATTTTCACAGGATTCTGTCAGTCTCCTGAAGTGAGTCTTTTTACTGCTGGCTTAAACAAGATTTTTCTGCAGAGGGAAGTTAGCTGCAGACAAAGTGAAAATTACAAAAAGAAGTTAGTTTCACATCCGATTTCTCCAAAAGCTGATGATTCTGTGCAAAATACATATAGATCAAAACCAAAATATTGAAAGCTGTGAGCCTGGAAGTGCTCACTTGCTGTGTCAGTAAATTACTTGAGAAGAATACAGTTTTTTAGAGTGTTAAGACCCAGCAATACTAGATAGCAAATGGCACAACTATCCCATTTTTGTGTTCAGATTTTTCAAGTGCTTGGGAAAAATTAAAGGACATAAATGTTGGAAATAAGAGTGCCAGTAATGTTAGCATATGGGTCAGATTATAGTCCCAATTTATATGCCATAATAGTTCACAAGAATGCAACAGCTGAAGAGTTTGCTTCTCTTACTCTTCTTCTCGCAGTTTTCCCAAGTATTGCATTATTTTTGTCATTTTTATTAGCCAAGAAAAATCCCAAACTTCTTAAATTTCATACAATATGCAAATATTGTGATGTGGATGTCCAGTTGCATTTTTATCTTTGAAGCTTTGAAGTCTCCACTGAAAAAGTCTTGAATAATTCTGAGAAGAATAAGAGACATTCTGTATGGCATGTTTCACTAGCCTCAGAAATGTAAGCTGTTGGCTAAAAGCTTCCAGTATGAAAACAGTCAGGTGTCTGCTCTTTTCTGTGTCTTGTTAAGGTCTAAACTGTTTAAATTGGCAAGTGGGGATGAAACAGTTAAATAAAGCACAGTTGAAACCCTTCAAAGAACCTCTGGATTTGCTCTCAGGTAGTATCTTAGGCCGTGATTTTCACAACTAACATGTTCTATTAGCTCTTCTGAGTTTGTGCATTAATAAAACTATTTTTCTATGTTTATACCAAGTGGGTAATCGCTTTTTAGAGCCCCTAAAAGTTCTACAATGATTAATTATTTGCTGATTTTTTTTTTCTCCCCAGTCCATTGTTGCTGCCAATATATTGATACGTCCTGGATGTATTAGCTGTATCCATAATTGAATTTAGCAGTATTTACAGTAGTTAAATGCTAATTATTAGGTTCATGGATTGTTCTTCTGGTTTTGATTCTTCTGAATAAAATTGATGAGACTGACAGAAACAAGCCTAGTTCTGTAAATCTTGGGGAACTGGGTAACCCGTGTTAGGGAGCCAGCAGCAGCCAGCAAGGCTGGGTGTGCAAGGAAATCTGCAGTTTGGTTTCTCAGTTCTAATAACTAGTCTTGATGTTGTTATGGTAGTGTTGTAATATGTTCTTCTAAGTGCTGCACAAATATATATTGTCCATTCAGCAAAAGATAGTCCCAATCTAGTCACCATTAATTTCTTGCAAGTATTCAGGGGATTAGGGACCAAACAGGCCAGAAGAAAATATGGTGATCCCTGTTAGTTAAAACTAGGTAAGGCAGAGAAATAAGCTCCCAGGTTTTCACTGGGTCTGGAAGGCTTCTACACTAAAACCTGTTACTTCAGCTTTCATGATTTGTCTAGAAAGGAGGTGGATGATGAAATTTTGCTTTGGTGGAAAAGATGACTAACAGAAGAGCTACAGAAGGACAAGGTATATAAGTGTATGGGTGATAAAATGGCAGGTGAGATTCTGTATAGATAAATGGAGGGTAATGCACAGAAAAAGCGTCTTTGACTTATGCAGTGATGAGCTCTGAGCTGATCATGGTCTCTGAGGAATGCAATTTTGAGACTACAACAGAGAAGTCTATAAAACCATCAGCCCAGTGTGTAGTGTCATGAGCAAGAAAACAAATTGATTGCCTCAATTTGAATTGTATCATTCTCCACATTGAAAATGTGGCATCATGCTGCAACTCCAAATATGTAGTGCAAACAATATCCTGAAAACTTTGCTCAGGTCTGGTTGTCGTTTGGTTTGGGTTTTAATGCAAAGCTTTAGGAAACACATAATAAATTACATTTACCACACAACTATTGATAATGGCCAATTTGATGTGAGAGGGCTTAGGTTTTGGGGTTTTATTTTTGGTTGGTTGATTTAGTTTTTTAATACCATGGCACCCTGAGGGAAATGTGGGGTAGTTTTCATCTTTCATCTGTCACAGATATTGTGTCTTCACTTAAGATTTTATTACCATAAATGCTTCATGTCTTGTTTTGTTCAGAAATATGGAATTTAATACTCCTTGTCCCGTGCTCCTGCAAAATAAAATTAAGGAGAAAGATTGTGCGGTACTTACTGAAGTTTTACTTTACAACTTTCCTTAAGGAAGAAGATTCAGACAACGAAGAGAACTTTATTGACCTGAATGTTCTAAAGGCACAAACGTACAGATCGGTAAGTTGTAACCCAACAGTCCTCTCTTGAGAGATTTTTAGATCTGTAGCAGCAGTTTAATTCTGTTGGATTTAAGTCTGAAAATCCTTGTATAGTTTAAACTTGAAAAAAAAAAAACCCATTCCAACTGAAATGAATCAGCTTGTTTTAAAAGAAAAATGTGCATCCAGTTTCTAAACTGCTGTCACTGCAAGGCTGCTGGAAACATTTGCAAGACATTTTGCAGAGACTTTTAGGGAAACACGGTATTAATTTCTTTAATATATTTTAATTCTTTGCTATTTTTAGAATGTGTTATAATTTCTTACATACATTTTTTTTCAATTTTAAATATTATGAGAATATGTATTTATTTTAATTCCTAATCTTTACAAATTCAAAGTCATTAAAGAAATTTGCTACATCCATAGTCTAGATCATTCTGGATATAAATATTTTTCCTGAATATGAAAACTGTAAGCCATTGTAATGTGATTTTTGACAGTTCTCACTCTGCATAATGATGACATTTTGTATATAAACTTTGTGATTTTTACACAGGACATGAATGACATTGCAAAGCAAGAAGAGATTTTACAGTCCACAACAGATGCAGCAGAGTGGAATCTGGAGGTGGAACGTGTGCTTCCACAGCTGAAAGTTACAGTCAGGACTGACAATAAGGTATGTGAGGGTGGATCTGCATGTGTACACATGGTAATGAAAATGTTTACTTTACATTTACATTTTTTTTCTTTTGTCATGCCAAGAATTGTGAATAATGGGCTCTCCAGTGCTATCTTGTCTGAACCTTTGTCACTTACTTTGACCCTAGAATAAATAATTTTCAGTATGTTTTTTTTTCCCCAATATTTTTTTCTTGCTACTTAGAGGGCACCTTATTTCTAGATATTTATTTCCATATATTTATTCAGTGGAAACTTCTTAAATCATTAAACATTTCCAATGTATTCACACTTCTGAAAAATTATACCCTCAGTTTAGCAGCTATTAAAACACCTTCCTGGAACAGAGCTGATGAACTTCTTATCTTCCAACTGTTCCATTTGTCAACCACATGAAAGGTTGATTGCATGGAATTCATCTTTCTGAACTTTATGTGACAGTAAAGTAGTATGGTACCTCTGATCTAATCATCACAGACTCTCCTTGTGTTTAGTGAAAAGACATGAGTACTTTTTTGACTGATTTTACTTACCTATCCAGATAACTACCTCAGGATGAAATGCATCATTTCTTAGAAATGTGTATTTCTCTTCATAATTTATCTCAAGGAGTCTAGAATGAGCAGCTTAGAAGTAGACATCTATCTTTGGCAATTCCAAACCTAGGACCTATTCCTGGCATTGCCATAAGCATTCTTTCTGGGAGCTTGTGTAGCACACACAGATCAGTGCAGTATTGAAATTGCTCATTTGGTGTGACACAGCTAGTTGGGGTGTTGGAGCAATCTGCAGCAGTGATACAGAATTCAGAGAAGGATAATAATCTTGCCAAAAATAGGCTAAGCTCTCAACTGTCTGCTAAATTGCTTGCCTGTCTTAGACTATACTGCATTCTTGTACATGAAGAATTGCCTGGTTTGAGCCACCTTTCTGTGCTCCTCAGCAAGCCCATCTGTTATAAAGAACATGATGCTTGATTCTCACAGTAAGAAATTAAAACTTAATAAAGACATACATAGAAAATTAAAGCCACTGTAGGAACTGAGGTTTACTGGCTTCCAGTTTAATGCACCATCTCTTGGCTTTAAGGAGTATGTCAAATGAACATGAAAAGAGGATTCTTCTTTTTCTACCTCCTGTGCTTTTGTGCATTCAGAAATAACTGGAGAGAAATATTTGGCCTCTTTTCATTCTGCAAGAAAAGCATCATAGTCTGTTTCCTAAGCTGTGCCTGTAAATATAGTACCAGCAGGGGGTTAATGGTTTAATCAATGGCATTAGAAACTAGAACTTATTTGTAAAGTCCTGGGCAGGGGTGGGAGGTGAGGGGTGGTTTTGTGCTTGTTGTTGTTGATAATTTGCCAAACTTTGAAGTTTAAATGAAAACAATTGTCACCAGACCAACAAAAGATCTTGAGTCTGCTGCAAACTTAAAACCCAACATAAGCATATTTCTCTACTAGCCTTTGTTTCATTCTGGAAGAGAATAGTGGGCAGCAGCACAATTGTAGACAGCAGGTGAACTTAACGGGCTGAACAGCTTTTGGAGATGCTTAGCTGTGCTCTTCTGAGATGGTGACAGAAACACCAGTCCTTTGGTAGTTACGTGCGTGTCCTGTGCAGGGGGACAGCCTCACTTCACATCGGTGGAACTGCCTGTGATTGAAGGATGGCACATGTTTTAAGTGTGCAGCTGTTTTAAGCCAGGATTTGTTTTGTACATATACATTATAAGTGTCTGTATTCTCCGGGAGCTCCAGGATCTGGAATTCCTCTTGCTCAGGTGCTGCAGCCCAGCCTTGTGTACCTGGGGACCCATAGGTCCCCATCCCAAACTGATGGATACAGCTGCTACTTCTTTCCTGTTTGCAGGTTCAACCAGTAGTGAAGTGTGTATCACACAGACACACAAAGGACTGAGATGGCCAGCTACACAAACTGCCATAAACAATGCCCTGTCTTCAATACCACTTGTAGGACTCCCATAAAACATAAGTATAGACAGCCAGGCCCCCTTCTGCCTCTTCAGCTAATTAAGATTGAAGGTCAATAGTGAAAGCACACACCCCCTGCTCTCTAGATTCACAAGCACGTGCACATTCAGGGATCCCTCAGCTATTGACATGGTCCTTCTGTCTGTCTGATCCTCCTCGCCTGCATCCTAGGCCCTCTTAACTGTCTCACTGCTCTTCTGCTTGCTGGCTAGTCCAGACTGATGCTTGCCAGCAAACAGATGTGCACACTCACGTGCTCGTTGTAAAGGCCCCCTACGTTTGTGGGTCCCCTGAATACCAGCGTATACCTGCTGCCTGCCTCATACCCAGCCCTGGATCTAGTGCCCAGTACTTGACAGCTCATTCAGTTTTAAGTCTGCTGTTGAATTTTACACATGCACAGCAGGTTTAGGGAAGATGTAAACACTTGCCTGTCCCCACCCCAGCATCTGGCACCAGCAACACAGGCTTGTGACCTGCAATCCTGCTCCTTGTGACCTGCAAGTTGCTGGCACTGAGCCCCTCGCTGTGTTACTCATGCCAGCCCTTCCCAGTAGCTGGATTTTGGGATACACACCGGTCCTGCCTTGGTGGCTCAGACCCTCACCTGCTCCTCTGGTTGGCACTGAGACCCCCAATCTCTCTGGCTGCAGACACCACAGGCCTGGGACACCTGCAGTTGCTGGTCCCATATCTTTTCTCACCAGCAGCTGGCACTTAGTCCTTGCAGCACTCACACATGCACAGGAGAGAATGAGGTTGCACAGAAAGAAAATTTAAAATAATTTAATAAGGAGATAAGACAGACTGCAGTCATCAGGCACAGGGCTCAGTTAGCCAAGCGGACTGACTGGCACCAGTTTACACATGACCAGCCCTTCTTATACCCCTCTCTGTTCACCACTTTTTTCCTCCCCAGTCCCCTTCCCCTGCACACTGCTTCATCAGTTTGCATAGTTGCACCAACCCTCATCCTGAATATCCAGAACCCCCAGGTTTGCATTTGTACCAGTTGCAAGGGCCAAGTTCACCTTCTTTGAAGTGATACTTGTAGTTTCTTGATAGCCCATCAGTGTGACTGATGAGCTTTGTTTCTTGTCCTTGTCTCCCTTAGTGTTTGTCTGGCAGATCTGTGTCTCTGTAGGTTTTGTTTTTGACCTCCCCCTTATCACATTTGGACAAGGTTGTCCATTAGATAATTGTACTGATACAAATATTCTCACATTCCACATGCCCTTATCCAGTAGTGTAACTGGACAGGTTTGTTTCTTGTTACTGCCTCCATTATTGTTCATCAATCAGTTTTGTGCCTCTCTGTTTTGCTTTGTATCCTTTTCAACAAGGGCCTTGATCAGATAATCTTACTGAAGCAAACACTATCACCTTCCATGTATCCTTACAATACCTATTTTACAGGAAAGCCTCCTAAGGTTCAATTTCACATGATAAAGATTTGTTAACTACACTTTTTTTTTTTTTTAATACCTAGACCAGTACAGTGCCAAAAGCTTAAAAATCTTAAAAATATTTTTAGCACGTTCAGAAACACAATACTGAAATAGCAGTAATTCTGCAGTGACACTACTCTGCTTCATTTTGAACTTACAGTCTGTCTGCAGCTGTGGTTTGGGTCTGGGAGATATAAAAAGTTTGCACTGATAAGGAAAGATTTGTGATAAAGCTTGGGAACTGGAATTCATTTCTAAGTAAAAGATGCTTCCCTATCAAGTTAAACCAGCACCTTTTCTCATCCCTGAGTCCACGTATGTTTCTTATAAGCTAGAAGCTGCAAATAATTTTCCCCCTTTTAATTTTGTTCCACTATCATAAACAAGTTTAGGTATTTCTGCCTCTTTCATTTAATTCTGTTCTTTTTCTGATAACAGTAAGGACTAAGTAGAAAGGGAGGATCTGATAGTCTGGAACTGGTAGGTGTTAGGCATTGGAAGCACCCTTTTTCTCTGAGAATAAGCTGAGCTAGTGCAGCTACAATCAATATTTTCAGTATTTATGCCCAGAGTGGTTTCTAGCAGAAATAGTTCAATGAGGATCAAAGAGACTCTAAAAAGCACAGCTACTGTGGTATCACTGAGGATGTCAACGTCTGTTTATGGATCCGAGTGTCACGTGTGACATTTAGGAGATTTATAAATTGTGTCACATTAAGCAAGTGCCTTTGGATATGAACATGGCAGTGGCAGAATGATACACGGTAACAGCATAAAGGAGAACTGACCCTGCCTTGCATCAGCCTTTGTTTAGGAACCAGAGAAAGATAAAAGTTGTTCTTACCTATGTTTTACTTTTTTAGGATTGGAGGATTCATGTAGATCAAATGCATCAGCATAAGGATGGAATTGAATCTTCTTTGAAAGAAACTAGGGTATGTCTTGTATACGCAGACTATTTCACTGATCTATCAGCGTTTTTATTTTCTCTTATATCTGATATATGTTAAGAACTAAATTGATTTTTTGTTCCTTAATTTTATTTGTGTCAATGCTGTAAAACCAAAAAGGGAAACATACAATAATGATG